AGATGGACATAGCCACTGTGACATCACCCATTTGTTAGTTGATGCTTTTGAAACTAGGCATTGCAGATGAGGTGTGGATGTAACTAAAATGCTCGTAGGATAGTGACATGTCACACCCGCCTTAAAAAACTTGATCCTTTTTTCTTTTTTTTTTTGGACTCTGGTGACCATAAACATGCAGTCTTCAGTTTCAATTATGTTTTTAATTACTTACGGTTGGTGCTCAACAGGACTTTTAGACATTTTTACATTTAGTTCTACTTAAAATACTTGAAGCTTTTACTTGCCCTAAAGAAGATTCTTTATTAACAGGTTGCTAACAAGACGACAGAAGCTGTCGGGGAACCTTAAGTCTAATTGAGCCAAACACAGGAGCTCAGTGGCCACGCCCCTAAAGTCATGTAACTGTAGTGTAGTCTGTTTTGAGTTTAACAGTAAAATTAGTGAATTTTACTCGTCTTTCCCACAGAGCCTGTTATCTGCAATAATCAAAACCCGAGCTGTAGCAATGCCAGCTTCTGTATTGATCAACTGTGTTAGTTTCACCTCTCAGACCTGGATGTCCATCTTTTACATACAACTCATCTCTGCTGAGGTTGGTGGTTGAGTTTCATTGTGGGTTACGTTGGGAGCTGTTTTTGGAACAAGACGGCAGAATGAGGTGACTTATATCATCCTGTGGCCTCAGTTTATTTTTGCTGTGTTTTTCGTTCGTTCCTCACAAGTCCATGAGTTCAAGTAAAAAATCTGTCCCTTTTCTCTGAGGGAGGCTGTTAGATTTCACAGCCTGATGGGAAAATTTATCAAATTTTAGTGGCTAAAACTTCAAATATGAGGTTTTCTCTAAGAGACGCAAAAGTTAATTCAAACAGACAGCACTGAAACGCCTCCTCCAAACGGGAAGTCTTTCTCCTGCTGCTCACTGGCTGAGTTTCTTGGTGAATTGCGTTACATGAGGAACGTATTTTAATGTTTTTAAATGCACTTTTTTTTATAAGAATGACATGGTATCTGACAACTGTTGAGTTTTCCCATTTTTTTCCTGCAGAGAAGTGAGGAACAAATGTTTCTTTATTTTCTGCTGCCTAAGAAGCTGTGTTTCTGTGTGATTTTCATTGTGCTGATGTATTTTTTTAATTTCTTTTAAATATAATTAAATGTTTGGAAACCTGTGGTTTATACTGACTTTCATTTCTTTTATGCATAGTTAGTTAAAACATGCTGACACCAGTTCATTCTGGTCAGATTCATTTTTGTTCTGGTTTGGTTCCCTGGTTCTGAGACAGTTTCACATGAGATAAGTGTATGTACAGTAATCCCTGTGAGCCAGAAGCTCAGGCTGGAGAGCACTGTGAAGAGTTTCAGGCAGTAACAGTGAGGGGATATCTCTAATAATATGTGTCATCTCCAACACACAGCCCTTCTTCTAGTTGAATCCAAACTGACTGACACTGCGCCAGAAGAGTTGTCTGTGAGTCTTGGTTAACGTATTTAAACAGTGTGTAAACACATGAAGCATTCAGGACTTTGGCAGCTTGAGGTCTTCATGATAAATAATATCAACATCACTGTGGCTTCATCCACCTGTTACACTATGTTTGGAATTACTGACACCAGTGACTGGGAGCAGCAACTGCGTGATTTTCGCAGGCAGAAAAAGCGCCACAGCAGCACCGTGCAAGAGGAAAGGGAAAAAGATATCAGTCAGAAACTTTGGAAAACCTCAACATTAATGCCGACTGTTAGCACTGCATTCAGAGCACAAAGTTTTATATAACGTTTATTATTTTAATACAAAAAAATCTGATATAAAAAAGAAAACATAAAAAATGCTTTAAGTTAAAACCGGTCCACTCCAGAGTCTCTCCCTACATAAAATTTAACACAAACAGCTCAGAGTGTAACAACCAAAACACTCTGTACAAACTAAACTTTTTTACAGGATATAAACATCGTCCACAGGTATGAGGCAGTCTGTTTGTCAGCCTCCGGTACAGGTTACTCTGCAGTGCCATTTTCCACAAAAACAAAACATCTTCACAACAAAACAAAAACTTTACTTATTAAACGTTCCCAGAGTGTGAAACTGGTGCGTTCAGGGAATCTGGGAAAATGGGACTACCACTCAGAGTAATAAGAGTCACACTTAAGGTCCAGATGATACTGATTTAAATGAGACCCTTCATTCAGTCAGAACCTGCCCTGTATCCACATCAGTACTGAATTCTTCTGTGACTGAGGTACACCAATTGCTGTGCTTGTTTTTATCTCTCGATCATGTCCAAAAACTGAGAAAGGGCTTCATCTTTCAGTGTTTTTCAAACAGACAGACATATTTGGTGCTGTGAGGTTTTTGGAGGCTGCAGAACTTCAGTAAGAGACAGAAAATAGTTGAGGACAACATTTTTTGATCTGATCTCAGACTGCCAGCCATCAGAGACAAATGTCTTGAGACATTTCAGTCACTCTTAGGTGCATAAAACAACTACAGGAGGGCTTGACAGTCAATATTTTTATGTGAGAAATAACATTTTCGATGTTTTAAATGAAAAACATCAGAAACTTGATTTAAAAGAAAACAACTTATTGCTGATTCACACATTCACATATCTCCTGGGGTTTAAGAACAGCCCTGCAGGAGTACAGGTTGAAAAAGTTTGTGTTTATAAGTTTGAATACTGTACAAAGACCTGCAGCACTGATATAAAATTAGTGTGCGGCATTTTCAAGACACGGTCTTGCACATAAAAAGAGGTGATGAGCCCTGACTGACAGAAACATGCAGATTCTTTGACCTCCTGGGATGATTCAGGATCAGAAGCAGACTATACAAACCATCTGAAGCTTGCATACTTTAAGACTCTACTCTACTCTACTCCACTTTTGAACCACAAACAACATGAATTTTTTTGTGGTGCAATAAGCTGGCTAAAACGATGATCTTTTTTGTTTTGTTGTTGGAAACAGAGCGTGGACACCTGTCAGAGTTTGGCCTGTTCAGACTCCAGGCTGTTAGTTTTCTGGGGTCATAGTTTAATCTGCTGGTTGTCTACGTCCCATTAAAGCCTCCTCGCTGCCCCCCTCTGTACCTGAAGCCGCCCGGACCTGCAGGGCTGTGGTACCCTCCCAGCAGTGAAGGACCCGTGAAGTCCATAGCTGCCTGCTGGAAACCCCAGACCAGGGGGACAGCACCTACAGGGCCTAAACCTCCAGGCCACAGGGGTGGCTGCCCCAGGAGGCCCCTGATTCCTCCCAGGGCATTCAGGGGCCCCAGCATGGGGGCCCGGTGAAAAGGCTGTCCGTGGACTCGAGGTAGGTGGGGGTGAAGGAGACCAATGCCCCGCTGGCTGGGCGGTTGGTACTGCAGGTGTGTAGCACCCTGCTGCTGCTCGCTCACATGTTGCTGAGGGTGCTGGATTTGTAGTTGGGGCAGAGCAGGATGTGAGACACTCTCGTGGTTTGTGACCGAGGTGATGTTTCCAGGTACCTCACTGTTGCCCGGTGGTGCTGCCTCTTCTGTTATTGGCTGTTCATAGCTGGCTTTTGTTTCACTACAGAAAGAGAAGCAGAAGAAGAGACTGAGCAGGAACCGGACTGTCAGAGGTTGAAAACTGAAATCAGCACAGCTTTTATGGATGCATGTCAGCATCACATGGAAACCTCTGGGCCACAAAATGAAGTGTACACAGAAGTGCCAGAAAGTGCAGTTGCACTAAGGGCCACTTGCGGCTCTAAAGGTAAGTCGAAAAATTCTGTTTGTATTTTATATGAATACTCGAACAGTGTTAATATTGCAGTCATATTACAAACTGGCCTGTAAAAAAAGAGCAGGACTCAAACCAGCGTGTTATGTTACCTTGTTCTGTCCTCGCCCTCTGCTGGACAGGTGGTGCAGGGCGGTGCACTACTTTCGTCTGCTTTGGAAAACGCAGGCTCTCCATGTTGATCTGCTTCGCCGTGTGTCTGATTGCTCAGCGCTGTCACTACAGCTGCGTTCTGATTGCTCGGAAAGGCTGGCGTGCCATTATTGCCAGTAGCCTGGTTTCCTGCCTGTGAGCCCACCACTCGCACTGGAGTGCTGCCTCTCTGATCTTCAGCCTCTCTCCCTGCACTTCCTCCTCTCCTCCATCCCTCTGTACCAGGCTCCACCTTGTCCTCTCTCCTGCTGCTCAGCTCTGGCTGCAGTACCGAGTGAATTGAGTCCAGTGTGGCTGCCACGGCTTTCCTGCCTGGAGTAAGCTGTACTGCGTCAGGAGGACCTCCCTGACCCAAAGGAGAGGAGGGACTGTGTAGGAAGCCTTTCACAGGGTTAATGCTCAACTCTGCCTGGGACTCCAACTGCTGCTGCTGCTGCTGAAGCTGTTGCAGCTGCGCCTGACGCTCTGCCCGCAGTTGTAAGATGGCCTGTCGAAGAACCTCACAGTCAGCGTCCGAGTGGCGAGGGACCCCGTCCTTACAGGAGGCGTCAGGGACGAGCTGGTCAGAGGGGTGAGGGACAGAGGTTGGGAAGCCGGAGCTGGGCTGTGGAAGCTGCTGTGGTTGGGTGATAGAGGAGAGCGAGTGGTTGTGCTCTGGAAAGATGGACAGGGAGCATTCAGGACCCGAGACACAGTCACTATGACTCAGCTGACCCCCGACACCTGAGCAGAGAGGAGTACTCCCATCAGAATGGATGACAGGGCTGCATTTAAAGTTAAATGAATGCATGTTATCTCTAAAACATGACTTTAAAACATGACTCTGAAGAGAAGGAGCCGGAAGGAGAGAAGGAGTGTCAGTATAGGAGTAAAGTAGGAGAAACAGAAAAGATGGAGAGATGGTAGAGCAGACATTTCAAACCTTTGGCACCTTTGGGAGACAACATGTCATCTATGATTGGCTGCTTTGCCTTGATGTCATGACAACCAACTATTTGGGAGAAGTTGTGCAGAATTTCATCGATATTGGCAACAATGATGCCCCCGCTGGAGTAGGCCGTGAACTTCTCATTATGATGCTCTGAATAAAATAAAATAAAATAAAAAGAATGATGAGATTATTTTCTCATGTTAATCACATGACATATTAACTTAACAGTCAGCTGAGCCGCTGTACATGCAGTCATACTGTGCACAGAACATGAAGATTTGTCATTCATAACTAATTGAAGCCAAAATCATGAACAACATGAAAATTTGATTAACCACCCACCAATCAAATGATCAAATGTTTATTGGTGGAATTTATCATCCTATAAATGCACTTCAGGCACACCGCTCCTATGGTTTTAAGTCAAGTGAAATAGGAAAGGCAAAAAGTAAAAGCTTATGCAGTTCAGTTGGGTTTAGTTTGCAATCAGGTAACCAGTCACCAGTATTAATCAGGTGCCCTGAGAGTCACGCCTGCTCACATATACGTACCTGTGAGGAAGATCGTGTGTCGGTACTGCGTGTATCGTCCCTGCAGTTCGATTAGACAGTCCAGGTCAGGCGACTGACGGTTCATCATGTCGCAGTGATGATAAGGGAGGAACTCCACGATCTGCCGCTTCTGATAAGCTGACAGCAAATCCAGCAGGCTGGCTGCTTCTCTCCTGAATCTGATGATCAAACATACACAAATCATCCACGTTCAGCCAGCAGAAGGATGTAGATGCTTCTTCAAACATCTTACTGTTGGAACAGAGCTGCCCCCCTGCACATAAACGGAGAACGTGTAGAGCGAGTGGAGCCCTTCAAATTCCTTGACGTCCAAAACTCTGCAGACCTCTCCTGGTCAGCTAACACCACGCCCCTAATCAAGAAGACCCAGCAGTAGCTACACTTCCTAAGGGTGCTCAGGAAGAAGCAACTAAACGCCCTGCTGCTGGTGACCTTCTACAGATCCACCATCGACAGCCTGCTGACCTATGCAGTGACAGTGTGGCACACCAGCTGCACGGAGGAAGACAAGAAGGGACTGCAGAGGGTGGTAGATACAGCACAAAAAAATCATCGGCTGTCCCCTGCCCTCGTCTGCCATCTAACACTCCCGTTGTCTCAGCAGGGCCAGAAACATCTTGAAGGACACTACCCACCCCGGCTACCATCTTTTCAACCTACTGCCCTCTGGCAGGCGCTTCAGATCCATACGGGCCAGAACAAACAGACTCAGGAATAGCTTCTTCCCCAAAGCTATCACCATACTCAACTCATCAATTCTCTGCCTGTCTGTCTCTGTACTATACTGTACCAGTACTGTACTGTGTATTTATATTTATATATTTAAATTAAGTGTATAGTTAAATTATTGTATAGTTCTTATAATGTGTTAAAGCACATGTGCACTTTTATAAAGCTGTTTTAATCTCATTATACTATGTATTTTGTTACCATTCAACCACACCTCTCCAGTCAGAATGTATTCCAGCTTGGAATACTGAATAGTGTGACATTTTATCCACAAGGTCACCAATGACCTGTTTACAGTTAAGGTTAGTTTCACATGTATTCTTTTAATTCCTTTAAAGTTTTTAAAGTAAAAGTTTATATATCCTGCTAGAATTATATAGCAGTTAATCTGTAAAGCCTAAACTAATTTAAAATAAACTTGTTTTGAAATGTGACACCTATAGTTTCTAAAATGGCTAAAGGCTGTTCATTACACAGTGAGAAGCAGATCTACTACCTGGCTTGTTCTTTTAATTTTTTGTGCGTTTTGCAGTGAATCTTCCACCTCCAAACATTCTCTAGAGAACTGTGCTGTTCCAGGAACATCAGCAGTGCCGCCAGTCGTTCTGTAGAAAAGCATTTCATTAATTAACACTCCAGTTTTATAAGTAATGCATTTGTTTTGATTGACAGAAAAGATAAAATCTGTTTTTATCTTTGTGAAAAACAAAATTTTCTCCATGTGTAGATGTGATTTTTTCCCACTACATTTACATACATACATTTACATGGCTGCTTTCTGATTCTCTGACCTACCGTGAGTGATGCAGTCTGGACTGAGGACCAGCTCGTCTGATACGATGCAGCCTCCGGCTACAAACAGCTCATTGTAGCTGTTGTTCCTGATGTCATCCAGCGTATCGATTCCCACAAACACCACAGCGGAGTGTCGCTTCAGAGACACCAGCCCTGGGATCTGACAGCAACACAAACACATAAACAAAGCTGCTGTATGTGTGTTTTCAATGTGGGCTTCTCATGACTCAATAATTACAGCAAAACATCGGTCAAGCATGAAAAACTCAATTCCTCACAGCAGTGGCACATAAAAAGTGCAGCCGCTGACAGCTAAGTACTGCAGGAACCTCTGCAGCATACTGCACATACATATTAAAATCAAAAATATGTGGAAAACCTGTCATTGGTATTTGTACTAATCTTTGTCCTATAGTTAGCGCCTGCCACAGAGAAGGCAGAAAGCACAACAGACATTGTTTGTTTGCAGTGTTACATTTAAAAGTGCACACAAGTGTTGTGTTAGAGCATTTAAGCTCTAAGTGCGCTGGTCTTTCCTGTCCAGGCCATCAAGTCAGCACATAATTGATGCATAATGCCAGCGTGATCACACGAGCCTCTGCATTGGTTTTACTCCTTCTACTTTGCAGTATAAAAGTACATATACATATATATACACATACATATATATATTCCAAAATTTATTCCAACAGGGTTGGACTCGGCACTTTTGCACATAAATCTGGTATACATGTCGTTATTGTGTCATGTTGATGTCACGTTGTCAGTATTGTGCAAACAGCAAAGAAATAATCGGAGCCCTACTACCTTCTATGTGTACACAACCTGCTCAATAAAAACTGATTCTGGTTCTGTGTGATCAAAGGGGTGCTTGTACAGGTCTGTTAACTCCTGGTTAAATAAAGGTTAATAATGAAGAGCTACACAAATGGACAAATCTCACAGAAACTTTATACAGCTAGTGAGCAACAACATTACATTTGACCTCTGCAAGGTCAAATAACGTTAAACTTATTTTTAAAACTCTGGGATTATAGTTTGCATCCAAAGATCACATTTGAACTCTGACCTCAGGTTTACATTTCACATATGCCTTTCTTTTAAGCTGACCCCAGAATGCATTACATCTTTAGAGAAAGAGAAAGAGCTGCTGAGGTCATTTGAAATATACAGTAGTATAATATTATATAATAAGCTTAAGTTACTCATGTCCAATTATTTACAAATCAATACCCTTTTTTAATGTTTGTGTCGTGTCATGTTACCCTTACTGCACTACAAACTTCTTAAAGTACATTTAGAAAGAACAAAGATGACAAAATCAGTACATAAAATATAATCCCATTCCCTTAAAGGTAAACTCACAGCCCAAACCACTTGCGCTTCAAACATGTTGACACTGCTGGAAATATTCTGCGTAGGAGGTAGGACACATGAGACTTCTTACTGCACGGGACTACTAGACCCTTTATTTGCACTGTACTAAGAAGCTGCAGGTTCACTCACATGCAGCAGTGCCTGGTGTCTTAAAAAAAACGAGGCCTGGAGAGCTTGAGTGAAAACAGCTGATGTCTACAGTACACTACAGTAAGCTCCACTTAACCACAACCGGCGCAGTCATCATCAGACAAAACGTGTGGATTAAAGCAGAGTCCATCAAGACTTTACAGCTGTTAACTACCTTGTGTACATGTCCAGCTATGTCCTTGTTCTTAATGATGACCAGGAGCCTGTTGTCAGGGTCTTCTTGGCTCAGAAAGGTGATCGGATTCTGCTCCACGTTACCCTGCTTCAGCAGGAGTTCCTACAACATAACGTCACACACAAAACATAAACACAAATAAAATAACTCTTCACTTTAACCAGAGATTATACACATTTATACCAACAAAGAAAATTGGTCAACTCATCGTACGCAGCAGCAGCAACAGCTTTGTGTTTAGCTCCTTTAGCATTAATATAACTGGCACTACCTCTTTCTAAGGCTGCCACGATTAGTCGACTAGTCACGATTACGTCGACTATCAAAATCATCGACGACTGGTTTAATAGTCGACGTGTCCTTTGAAGCTTTGTAAGATCACAAAAGACGCAGGAATAAGTAGCAGGATTTAAGAGTGTAATAACGGACTGAAACAGAAGATGGCAGCACTGCATGTACAAGGATGCCAGCTGCCGTTAAACCCCGAAGAAGAAGAAACTGTCCCAGAATTCATAGCGCGGCCCAGCTCAGTTTTCAACAATGGCGGCAACTAGTTAGTTTTAATATTACTCTTATTATTCTTTCTGGGTCACAAAATAAACGTTTAACATATTTTCAGGCGAGAATGTAGCTGTGTAAACCTCAAATATCTGCTCAGTTTATCAAGACACCACATATTTTCAAAAGCGCTCCGACGTTTTCGGAGACGTCTGTTACCCACTAGCTCGATAGCTAGCCGGGAGCGAGGCTAACTAGAGCCTTGAGAACACCGGACTCTGGCAAATCGTTTTCAAACGTCTTTCGCTACTCAGGTTAAACTTGATATCTAAGTCACTTAGATAACTTAAAAATGTTATTGTTTGGCCTTTTGTAGTATTTTATTTGTTCCTGAGTAAATCGGTTTGGCTGAGATTAAAGTTATAGTTTTTACACAGCTGAATAGTCAGGCAGACAGCTGATCGTCAGAAGTGTGAGATGCTGGAGAATTTACTCCGGTGTCCTGTTATATTTTAGATAGCAAGGAGTTTATTAAACTTCACCGAAACAATCTGCAAATTTCACTAAAATGTAATATACTATCATCTTGTCTTTATTTTTAGTTAGCACCTTAAACACTTAAAGCTGTAAGCTAATGATAGTTATATAAGAGCAGATGCTGCTGGTGCAATGGATGATTAGTCGACTAATCGCAAAAGTAATCTGTGACTAGTCGACTATCAGAATAATCGTTTGTGGCAGCCCTACCTCTTTCATATTTGACATGTTAAACAGTCTCTATTTGCGATTTTCTTGAGATCATCTTGTCAAAGTAGTCAAGCTGTTTATTTATAAATAAGTAAAGGAAATCCAAATTTAAAAACAGTTTTAAAAAAAAACAAACATTCTGGGGACTTTCCTTTGGCTCTTCGTGTAGTGTGAACTGAGCTGCCCATGAGGCTACCTTTATATCTTTGGTGACCTTGTCTCCTGGTTCAGTGCAGTGGATGTAGAACTGCAGGGAGTTTTTCTTGACTTCTTTGATGATCTCCACCAGGCTGTTGAACACATCTGGCTGCAACTGGCTGATCAGGGAGCTCAGGTCTGTGGCAGGGGGTGCGGTCCCCACACTGGGCTTGGCGACAGGTACAGAGCTCGGGCTGGATGCCGGTTTAGAGGGATTGGAAGCTTCTCCCAAAGGGTCAGAAGTGCCGCCTAGCCCCGGCAGAGTCACAACAATGTTTTTAGCTGGAAGAACACCCCCACTGTCAGCAGCAGCAGTACATAGCACAGTCCTCGTGGTGCTGTTTTCCTGTGTTTGGCTGACATCTTGAGTGATTGTCCTGCTGATTTCTACAGTTTCATTCTGCTGCGGTGTCCACTGGGAATGTGGTGATGTGCTAGGTGGAGGGCAGAGGACAGAAGTGTTTGCAGGCTCATAGATCAAACCAGATGAGGGGGTAGGAATTGATAAAGAAACATGAGAACTTGTGGGATTCCTGTAGGTTGTGCTGTCTGGCAGCCACGCTTCATTTCCTCTGGAGAGCGCTAGGCTTTGACTGACTGTGGTGCCAGAGTCAGCAGCTGTCCACTCATCACAGGAAGCAGACCCCTCGTCATCTCTGCCTGTAGTATTAGCTGCTCGAACGCTGGCCACAAAAGCACTGACTGTATTCGCTAAAGTGGAGTCAGGGTTAGTCCCACTGAGTTCGGGCTTGCGCTCTCGCCAGCCATCATCAAACTCTGTTATCATGCTGTTAATGCCGTCCTTTAGTGAGTCCACGTAGTCCTGCACGGAAGGGCAGGGGTTGTAGAAGGACACATACTGTGAAAACTGAGACACGGAGGCGTAGGACATTGTGTGTTGAGGTGTAGGTGTTGCTGTGATTAAAGTCGAGTGAGGATACTGAGGTAAGTTATAGTGGGTGCTCTCCTCCTGCAGGAGCAGCTGAATCTCAGAGGAGAAGTCACCAAGATGTCTGTCCACAATGCTGTTAATATCTGTGCAAGCAGAGGCTGAGGAGGGAGAACCACCTACCAGCTCCTTCACATTTCCCTTTTTACAATCCATCTCTTGGATCTCCAAATCTTGTTCATGATCATCAGTCGCTTTTATCTCTCGTTTCTGCACCTTTTCACCTGCCTGACTTTCTTTTTCCTTCACCAAAGCTTCTACCGCTTCTTCTTTCACTTTAACCATTCCTCTTTCTGTTGCTTCCTTCACTCGCTCAGTGGATGGTGACGAGATCCTTCTCTCTGGAGATGGAGGAATAGATGGACGGATGGCTGCTGAAACACATGGCTCTTCAGTCTTCTTTTCTTTACCCTGAGGTTTCTCCCCTTTGTCACTGGATGCTGCTGCAGGAGAAGACAGTGTTAGACTGGAGACAAATTCTATTAACTGTACACGAAGGTCAGCCCATTTAAAAACAAGCATATATTACAAGAGGGAAGGATTACAGGAGTAGAACCAATGAGGATCGTGTGATTGCACTGGCACTATACATCAGTCGACTGCTGACGTAAAATATAATAAAGTTTAAAAAAAAAAAAAAAGTCTCACCTTACACTTACAAACTGTGATCTTCATACTATGAAAATCTACTATACTATAAAATCAATACAGGAATACTAAATATCAATATTTGAATTAATAAATGAAAATAAATAAATAAATACATGGAAATACTCAGGGAATAGGTCTCTACTAACAAGGCTCATCTCCTGCACACTTAGCCACATATGTAAAACGCAGTTAGCCATAAGTTCAGGGGCAGGGGAACATGGCAGCTTCCACAAACTGGCGCCCGTTCCTATGTATTTCTGATATATTAAATATAAGTTTAGAGTTAAGAATCCATCAGTTTGATGGAGGATGTAATTACACTATTCTAGATACAATATCCTTTTTTCTGTCTTAATACCTTTTGAGGGCAGGCGCATCAGTAGCCTATAATAGTCATATTTTAAATGAACGGTATGGATCGCAGACTGTGAGAGGGACTTTGTCTTTAGTTTGCAGTAGGTATCTGAAGCCTTTAACACATCTGAAATGCTCAGGTTCCTGTTCAGATCTGGAATTTTAAATGTCAGAAGTGCTCAGAAACACGGGTAAAAATAAAATCGTACTTCATACTGCAAAAATAGTAAATTTTTCATAGCTTCCTCAAATATATTAAAGCTGTTAAATAAATAAATGAATCAGTCACAATGATTTACAACCCATAATTTAAAGGTGCAACATAAAATGGAAAAATAAACTTGGATTAAATTTTAAATTTGCAGTTGGCGGTCAAGACTGCAGTTGGCATTAAAGTCCAGAATTCACTGATACATTAAGCAAGATGCTCTCAGGTTGCGTGATGTTACCTGCAAACTCCCTGGAGGCCATGGAGGTTAACAACTCCTCGTTAGCACTTTTGTGGTTCTTATTAAGTAGGCTGAGCTCATTAGGCTGGGAGAATGTGTGGGGCGGAGGGCTGGCCTCCAGGGAAGGAGAAGGTGGGGAACTGGGCTGAGGAGATGGGCACTGTGTGGGAGATTGGGGAGGGCTGGGCTCTGGAGATGGGCACTGAGACGGGGAAGGTGGGGGACTGGGATCTGGAGAAGGACATTGCGAGGGTGAAGGAGGAGGACTGGGGTCAGGTGAGGGGCACTGGGAGGGGGATGGAGGCAGGCTGGCCTCAGGGGATGGGCACAGGGAGGGGGAGGGAGGAGATCTGGGCTCAGGAGACAAGGTGGGGCTCTGCCTGGGAGGGTTGGTTGTTGTGGTGATGCTTGTAGCCATGGTGAGGTGCAGGAAACGAGGATCGTGAGGGATGTTCCTGTCTCCCAGGGCGTACCTCTCTGAATTCAGACCTGCAGACGGAAAACACCAACATTTAGTTTTCAGTCTGATTAGTTCTCCAACTCTGTGATCTGCAATCTAAACTACAGGCTGCTGTATTCATCCTAACTGTACCTGGACACGGTTTTAGCACAAAAACCTTTATTCCTATGATGGATGTTAGTAAACAACGTGGCCCCTTATCTTTTTATTGTTCATACATTTTTTTGTTTTTTGAGTTTTATTTTGACTTTAATTTATTCTTCATATTAAAATCTACAGTATTTAAATGTGTGGTATGACTGCTGATTGTTTTTTTTTTAATTATTGTAAAATGCACACGGTCTGTTTTAGAGTACAGATGTCTGACTGAGCAGACAGACACACCTGTTATGGGGATGAGGACCCACGGGATCTCATATTCCTCATCGTCATCTTCATCAAACTCCATTTTTTTCCCCAACTCTCTTCTTCCTCCTCGAGCTGCTGCTCCGTGGTGATTCATCTCCCCGCTGTGCGAGCTGGGACTGAATCCCTCCAAACTACTGACGCTACCTGCCGTCTGCTCCTACAAACACAGGAAAACACACTTTGTAATCTCACCTGCTCGATCTCAAATGGTTTTGTTTTATGACACTTTCCGGAAGAAGCTTATCCAGAGTGGGAGCTTTATTTAGAAGTAATACAAATAGAAGCAGCTTTGTAGCCGGTAAATATGCAAGTACTTATATATTTATAAGACAATAATACAACATTGGTTTGGGGATAAAATATTAAAAGATAATTATACTAATATTCATAAGAGGGATAGGTAATGTTAATTTCCAGCTGCTTACTTTCATTATTTAAGTGTAAACATTAAATAACTTTGATAAAGCCGTCTGTTAGGTTCGGTGAGTCAGACTTTTTCCACCTGGGTGCCTAAAACAACAGATCAGTGTTGGGAGCTGCTGATGAGAAGCCTTATAACAACAATTTTCCAATCAGTAATTCTTGATTTCTGCTGCAACATTTGGTGTAAACAACATGAAAGGATCACTGGTGTAACTGCATGGAGGATAGCTCTTGGCACACTTTGTGACTCTCAGGAGTGACTGAGCATTGTTTAAACGTTGGTAACCGCCTTCCTGAGTATTGCTGCTGACCATGTCCATCCCTGTATGACCTCAGACAACCAATCTGCTGATGGCTGGTTCCAGCAGGATAACACACCATGTCATAAAGCTCAAATCATCTAAAACTCCTTTCCTGAACATGACATCTCTATTCAAATGGCCTCCATAGTCACCAGATTCAATGGACCATTTTTGTAAAGTGTTGGAATAGGAAATTCACTTTGTGGATGTCAATGTGGACAAAATCGCTGAGGAATGTTTCCAGCACCTTGTTGAATCGATTCCATGAAGAATTAAGCTGTTCTGAAGGACACCCGGTAGAAAGCAGGCAAGAAGATGACTAATACATTGAAATAATACATAACAACCTATGTGATTGCACTGGTATCATCTTCCTTATCTCTTGTTGGTCTTAAGATGCTAAGAACACTCTAAAAACCACTGAGATCATTTTATAAACGACCCTTAAAAGCTCTTGACAGGAAACCACAACAGTATCACAGCTGTGATATGCTTCAGGTTTTAATAGGCTTTTTGTTCTGCAGTCCAGTATTCGCTTTATTCACTGTAAACTAAAAAACAACAACAAAACAAGTAAAAGAAAACCCTTGCAATGCATCTCTAAAAATTTACCAGGAAACAGAAGGTAAAAAATGTGTGTAACACTGGTACCCACAAACTAACAAGTGCACTTTAATGAGAATTGCACTTTGCAAAGTAGTCCAGTAGGCTGAATTGAACCCTTCAGCAGACAGGTTCTGGCTGCCTGACTGCATGTTTGACATCGCTGATCTAGACAGTAATTTTGTGAACAGACACCATAAACATCAAATACCTCCAGCTCATCCTGCTTTCTCAGATCAATGTCACAGTTAGTGGGCAGGCCTAGTTTTGTAGCCAGCTTATCAAACGGATACGACCCCCTCAGCCCATCTTCTTGTGCCTCATAAAGGCTCTGATTAGCCGTTCCTCTGGCAGCCTGGTCGAGGCCTGGAAATGAGCAGAAAAATCAACTGAAATAAGATGTAAGCAGCAAGCTGCTCCATAACAGAAGGAAACAGAGTTAAAAGATTCTGGTTAAACAAAGGAGCCAAAAGAAGAGCAGGAAGAATGGAAAGTTTCAGCATGTTGTCCGAGTATCCGCTCACTTGTTAGCAGGCTCAGAAGTTTGGCGGCAAGTTCAGATCCGTCTTCTCTCAAATCAGTATCCTTCAAACCCAATGAGCCAATCACAGACGTGAAGGAGACAGGAGACAAGGACACTTGGTTTCCTTCAACTTAGAAGGCAAATCCAAAGAGAAAACATGTCATCAGTCAATGATTGTGAGCTTGTTAACAAAATGAAAAAAGCAAACAATCTTTGGTGTTCTTAAGAAAATTTAGAGGGAAATTTGACAAAAAAGAATCATCGAAAGAAAAAGAGCTTCCCCTGATGTTGCATGAATATACAAATATGACTCACTCATGAGGATTTGCTGTCAAACCTAAGTTCATTCATGACTTTAGAGGTTACATTTGAGGACCTGAAAGCTGATTTTCATGAAGCCTGGGATCAGGTCATATCAAAAAACGCAGACATGCTTTTCCCATCTCCTCACCTGGGATCTTGCTGTGCCTTATGGGTTCCTGGGATGCTTTCAGGTATTTAAGAGCCCTCTCTGCCGCCTGCTGCTCCATCTTCCTCTTCCTCCCTGGAGCCTGGAGCCCCCCTCCTTCCTCCCTCTTCACCTCATTTTCTGCATTCCTCTTGCAGGTCAAAACAAGGTCGATCAGCTGCTGCATCTGAGCAACAAGCATCACTGGTATGAGTTCATCAACCCCATAGGACAAAAACAATTTCTGTCACTTTACCTCAGTAAACCACCCACTGTGGGTCTCTCGCTCTCATTTCAGATGCAACTGTGAAACTGAAAATGTGACATCATAATGTGTTGATCAGACTTTCAACTTAACTGCCTTAAATCTGAATCCACCAAGTTGAGTTTCCTCCCTTGAGATTTCCTGTCAGGTCTTTACTACTATAAGTTGCTGCTTGCTTGTTTGTGGGTCTTTCAGCCCTCAGTTTCACCACTAGTAAGTGAAAAGTATGCTCTGTTTGTCTAAGTTTAGGTGAATGACTCAAGGAAATCTATTTTGCTTCGCAGGATTATTTTGCACATTTCAATCTCCGCATTTTTATTTCCGGACTCTACTGAAGTAGCTTTACATGACTCACAAATCTAAATAATCCTCATTCATATTTCTGATTCTTCCCTATCCCTCTGAGCCTGCTGCTATCTGAAGCTACCTGATATGATATTTGAACAGCAGGTGAATTAGAGCCTCTACTCATAGCCAGAGCATATTAGGAATATACATTCTAACAACAATGCCTCGCCTGTATTCTTAGTATAGATCAATAAAGATTTGGTTTGACTACCATTAGAATAGTTTCTGGGTTTTTCAGGGGTAGCAGCATAGGCAGAGACCACCCTCACTAACTTCTGATGCAAACACAGTCAGTTGGTTCCATAAGCAGGCTGAAATATAAACAGAAACCACTCAGCTTAGAAAAGAGCTTCAAGGGTTACTCCAGGATTTCAAGGGGTAAACAGTTAAAGATTTCATGTAGAATTTTGAAAAGTGTAATATTTGTAAATATTCGCAATGTAATCAACATGCCTATTTGTTTGCTTCAAGAAACTGAACAAAACAAGGAGAAATAAACCAATGAGTATATAAAAAAATATATTTAAAAAAATATATTTGCCATAATTTTCCATCAACTTGTTACCGGGCATCCACCACAAAGGGAAGCAGAGAGAGAATGAAGAGGGAAAATGAAGAGGCTGAAACAGGATTTCATTAAAATAAAAGACTGTGATCATTTAAGTTGTTCTTGCTGAAGGTCTCCAACACTGATCTAACCAAGAGTTCTCCCCAGAGCTTTCTGGCCCGGAGGGGGATATTGAGAGCACCCATAAACTGCTACCAAATGTAGCCATTTAACCCAAAAAACAACTGAATTACTTTTAAGCAAACTGAATAATATTTCTATTAAACCCCTTGAATTAAGGCTGAAAGTCCGTAATTCAATAACATCTTGAATTACAATATAATAATTTCAATATCATTAAAATAACATCTTGAGTCTTTAATTTTCAGATAAATAATATTGGTGCACAGAGCTGTATCACTGTCCAAATACTTATGGACATGACCAGTACAAGTGGACTTACTAAGCTGCGTTATGTTTTTTTGTGTGACTGTTCACCTTTTGTGTGTTGGTCTGCCCGTGCCTAGTATTTCCTGTCGCTTCCTTCTCTGTTGCGTCTCTTTTCCTGGCTCTTGCTTCCTGATGCGGCTGCTCAATTCCACAGTGCGCCTCTAATAACAGCCTGGCCCGAGCTGCTGATAGAAGGTAGAAGGCGGGGCTGTACAGGTAGGAGCGCAGGTAACCCTCCAAGTTCACCCGATGGTGTATGGGAGCAGCAACTGACTTTTCCTTGTCATCCATCTGGGAATCGTACTCACCCATTGGGTACTGTCGAACCTTGGGAGCAAACACAGAAACGTTACAGTCCCCAGGGGAAGTGGATATTTGAAGGAGCCAGTTTCAAGAGATTTGGGTCGTACCTTGCCGTCTTTCAGGCCAATGAGGTATTCCCGTGCCTGGCGCTCCACACCAGCAGACAGCTCAGGAGGGGGGTTGGCACGAACTTTGAGCAGGGCATGATGCATTGCTGGGATAAACTGACTTAGCCGTGACATTACTGCAGCACCAGATGTCTGAGACTCAGAGGCATCATGGGAAGAGAAGCCAGAGTGCGGTGCTACATGGGAAAAAAAAACCAAACAAACAAGGAAAACATCATTAGGTTGAAAATAATGTTGATTCAGCTGTTTAACCCTGTCAGCAGAGTCAATGATCAGTATTAACACTTAGGCTCAGTGTCCTGTGAACTGTGGTTACACTAAAAATGCTTGTATGATGACTCAATTTAATTTAGCTCATCAAAAATTGGTTTTCAGGGACACCATTAATGCTCCTGTTATTTTCTTTTCAATATAAAACTTTACTTTGTACCAAAAGGCAACTACAATAAATGAATGCCCCTCATTTATGGCGATACTCACCAGTTTTGGACACATCTCTGGTCTCTGGGAAAACAAACAATGCCTGAAGACACCTCTTCCAGTTCTCTCCTCTCTCTGAAAACACATTAGCTCACTCTATTACTTTCATTATAGAAAATTCATAATTAATTATACAACCAGCAAAAACATAGTACATGAACATTTCACTGACATCTACCAATATTTTCTTTGCAGAGAAAACTCACAGCAGTGATAAAATTAAGGTTAACTACTTCAAACAAGAATAAAATTACTATGGGTTGGATTGTGCCAAATCTGCCTTTAAGGCACTGAAATGGGCTGAAAGCACCAATAAAGAGGATTTATATTTGGTCACCCTCCCCTTCAAAGTTATTCTCCAGTATTTTACTATCAATTTAGAAGAGGTGAGATGGCCTCAAGACACATTTCATTCACACTCTTCATCAGAGGATGTTACAGTAAGTTGAATGCTCAGCCTGAGGGATGGATCAAACACATTAATGAGCATGTTTCTGCTTGTGCTTCAAACCCCATGCTGGCAATAACTCTAAACATGAAGACTGGAACGGTCTTACATAAAAACTGATATCTGCCCAAGTTTGAAATTAGCAAAGAAAACAATTTACAGAAGCAAACATGAAATGGGTCAATACGGGACTGACAGAGAAGTGATCTGACTTCTCTAGCGCTAGATACTGCCTGGATTTGAATGAGAAGATAACGCTGAATAGTGAGAAATGCGTATTTATTTATTTTTACTCTTGATTTTTATCCAAATATTATCCTGCATACAATTTACCAGTATAACTCACAGTCCCATGCCTTACCTGTGGGCGTGGCCATCTGAACACTGGACAACAGGAACAGAAAGCCTTTATCTATAAGCGGAGTCACTATAACCTGTAAAGAGAGCAGACAACTTGTACTCAACACTTCCTGTCATTCTTCACATTTTATTTTTGTCTTCCTTGCTACACTTAGTTCAAACTGCTGCTGTCTGTGGGACATATTTACAATTTTTAGTATCTCTGAGACTCCAATAGTGATGCAAAGCATGAAAATAATTCTCCAAACAACTAAAAAACACAACAACAAACAACTTCTTAAGATAAAATAATGTTTCCACAAATCCACTTATCATTTTGCATTGCTTATAATCTTTTTGTAGTTTTATCACAATGAAAGTCAAAAATGAGTTACTGGGACACTTAATTACAAACCATTGTCCTACCAGCATAACAAGATAACTCAAGAATATTCAACTGCTGTCTAACATACATTTTACACCAAGTAAAGGTTCAAAAATAGAGTAAAAATCACTGTATCACAGAGTTTCAGCTGATAATGGCTCAGAACTTCACAATCTATTCACCTGCAATATCAAAGTGAAATAGCTGCCTTTGATGTGAGGCCGTTTCAAATAAAGGCAACCTGCTTTTCTCTGTAGGTAAATAAAGACTCTGGCAGATATATAGTTTCCATATATAGCTTCCATGCACTGTACATGAGAATCTGCTAGTCCTCTGTGATATTAAAGCAAGCAGAACCCACCACTCGCTTTATCTCCAGCTCATGCAGCAGTCTCGTCACGCTGGTTTTAGACCGATTTCTGTCCATCACTTCCAGAAGACTGCAGTAATAGCCGTTCTTCACAACTACCAAAAAGAAAATATAAAATAAGTCCCATCCACTTCCTCTTTCAATGCACATGCATTTTGAAAATATAACTAAGAAAGGATTTTTGGCAATATCTGAGGGTGAAAATGCTGTTACAGAAAGGGTGATTACTAGAATCTTATGTAACATTAAAGTGACTGTAGTTCTGGTGTGTAACGTGGCATCACTAAGAGGATTAATGTGATCTTACCCTCCTGGCTGCTGTTGTAGAGGTTATAGGAGAACAGGCTGGCAGGGAGGAGGTTGGTCACCTGGTCGAGCCTCATCAAATGACCAATTTCCAGCTTCTCTGGTCTGAGGGAGGATCATGGTGAGACGGACACAGAGCGAATTATTTTAAAATGGTAAGGATGCATTTGTTTAAATGTGCATGCAGGTTTTTTGAAGTAAGTAAAAGTAAAAATTATACTGCGAGGGATTACAGATCATTAAAGGCAGGCTGGTAAGCTATTTTAGTAAGGCTAAGCTAAAGAGTTGAGCGCAATGCATCACAGAAAACATGGACACCAACAATGGAATTTAGTCAGCTAAGCCAGGTAAGCTTTCGAGGTGTTGATGGAATATGTCTGTGTGTGTTTTCATTTTAGTTGAAACCTTTTTTCAAATTTTTTTTATTTTTCCCCCACTCTAAGAAACACCCCCATCCAGTGTTTCCCATGCTTACACTTTACCCAGTCAGACTGCTGAGATATACTAATTATTTTTCAGTGACTCGCTTTTTATTTTTTCCATCTGTCTGAGAGAAAAACGTCATAAGCACTTTAGCAGTGGCCAATATCCTCAGTCGTATTTTTAAATTCAGTAACAACTAACCGGCTATTCCCAGCCCTTCCTTTTTTGTTTTGCCCTACCTCCGGGCTTGTGAGCCAGGGTGCTGATGTGGTGGTTCTCATTCAGCTTAGATAGAGGATCTATGGAATCGAATATACTCCTAAATGTTAGCGTGCCTATCTGCAACATAAATGGCCTGTATTTGTATAGCGCTTTTCTAGTCCCTAAGGACCCACCCCAAAGCGCTTTACACAACCTGTCATCCACCCATTCACACACACATTCACACACTGGTGATGGCAAGCTACAATGTAGCCACAGCCACCCTGGGGCGCACTGACATAGCCACGCTAACATTTTATGTTTCACTAGACCAAACTCAACTCTCGCTAGCTGTGGTCCAAGATGGTGGAGTTCACGTGCAGGATGGAAGACTCACATCACAAGTAGCTGATTATATCATTCAAGTCTATCTAAAACCCACTTTAGATTTCAATCCATCTTTAAAGATAAAGAGGAGTCACAAATGTTGGTCAGTAAGTCAGCAAACTAATGTCTTTTCTGGTCATCCACACCCCACCTACAGGAATTCCATAACCCACAGTTTGAGAACCACTGCTTTAAACAGCCTAAAGGTCAGCTCAGTACTCACAGTTTGTGGGGTAGGAAGGGAGGAGACAGGGAACAGAGCGAGATCTGAAAGAGTACTCGGTCGCCTTTCACCAGGTCTCCAGTCCACACTGTGAACTGAGCATGCTCTGTGGGAGAAAAATAAAACCTCATCAGCACCAGAGCAAGACTGAAAAGAAAAAACAAAACAAAACACAGAGCTTCCTATTTTATTTTATATCCAAGCAGTGTAGGTGACCTTTCACATTCAGGTGTGATTACATCGACAAAAAACAGGGACCAGTGCTCACCTTTACTCCCCTCTGCTGACTGACTGTTCGACCTGCCCACCAAACACAAATTACAAACTTCATGTCAGTTTTGGCACAGAGATAGAGGTTAAAACTCAGAACCATTGTTGATTCCTCCATGTCTAAAATGTCCGTCAGACTTTTATGGAATAAAATATAAAAAACAAAACAAGAGCACATTCATTAAAAGACTCCATTTCTAAAGTTAATTACTGAAGCTGCTCTGGCTGATTTTTCCTGGAAACCTGCGAACACTCTCTTTAGGTGTCATCTCGCTAGAATAGCATCAATTTACATGTTTCACATACCTGATGGGTGCTACAGGTGCACTGGGAAGAGGAGAGTCTTTTCCTTTAAGCTGGAAGGAGACCACAGCGTACGGGCACACCTGGCGAGGTCGCTGTCGCAGCTCGTCGAATGAATACTCGTAGAAGTATTGCTGGAATAATCAAGAAAACGGTTTTGTTTAAAGCAGTCATTGCTTCTTTAAAAGACTCACAAGGTTCCCAAACGCTTATTTTCCTCTTCAATAACCAGACGTGATTGCATATGTCAGTACTTTTTCACATTTACACATGCTGTGTCTATACTTGCACTGCCTACAAGTAGATTCACAACAAGTATGAACAAACTAAATGAATCTCACTACAAACACCTGAAAAATAATTTGAATGATAATGATTAGTGGTCACCATCTTGGCTCAGAGTAGAAAAAGAGGTGCTGTCAAATTAATTCCAGCTAGTAAAAGTAGGATAAGTCATATGCACTGATCATGATGTCACCATTAGCGCTGACAACATATCCTCATCAGCAGATAGAACTGATTTTTATTTTCCAGGCAAAGACAAAGAAAGACAAAATTCGAAAGAGGGCCAAAATGGTATCACGGACACACCAGATGAGCCTCCTTCTCCAAACGGAGCACCTCTCTATGCTCCTTCGGTAGCTGCTCAGCATACTGTGGCTGCTTCTCCATGATGAAAGGAGCAAGTTGAGGTGGCTTCAGTGTCTTGAGTGAGATTTTGGTAGCACATTTATATCAGTGTGCAAAGGGCTTAGGTATCCAGAGGTAGTGCAGACATGTTGGCAATGATCCACCCAAAACAGATGGATGGGTGCATGGATGGGACAAGTTTTTGACAAAATGAGGTGGCAATCACAACAATCAGAGTCAAATGCTGCAACTGTTATTTGTGTGAGTGTACAGCCAGCCTGTTCCATTTCAGACAACACTGACCCATGAAATGAAATTCACACACACATTAAATATGAGCCCTAACCCAACCATGGAAAATTAATTTTTCAGGTCAGTCCTAGTACAAATATGGAAACTAAAAATTTGAACATCAAACAAAAACATTTTAACTAGAAAACCTGTTTTAGCGAATAAACCATCTGAAGCTGAAAGATATTTTTCATGTGATTTTGTTCAATTTAAAACAAAAAAATATATATTGACAGACGTGTAATTTTAGGTCTGCTTTTTCAACAGCTGAGTCATTTCCACACAATCCTCTCTGGATATTGTTTTTAAAGTTAAATTCAGACATTCAATTCCTGCCAAACACAAACCGGACCCCAATAACACCGCCAGAACCAACTGAAAGACTCCTGTTGACTATAAAACATCTCAAAGCACTGAAACAATTTTCTGTGTTGAACAGATAAAATGTGTGTAAGCGCATCAACATTATGTTTGTCCATTTCTCTGTTTTTTTTTTCCCCTCTGTGTTTGAGTGTATTTACCTGTGTGAGTTCAAATGCGCGGTATGAGTTCAGCGAGGTGACTTTGCTGGCGTTCTTGGAGATATGGCTGTCAAAGCGAGGCGTTGGATCTAGAAGGTTTTTCATGTTTTCATAGATGCTCTTGACTTTTCCCTAAAACGCCAAACAAAGAATTCCACTGCAGATTACAATCATTTCTACCACTACGTATTGAGTTTAACAACAAAGATTTATCAGAATCAGTGTGCTGCCGGCTTTCTCACCCGACGACACGTACACGCCGTCAGGGCTCACAGATTCTAATGCGTCGGATCTGCGCTTTGTGTTTGCGTCTTTTTGCGGATTCCGTTTACCTGCTTTCATTTGCTGTTTTAGCTGTTTGGTGGTTGTCAAAATACTTTTGTGATGTTTAACCTATATATAATTTAAATATCTACAGAGTGAGCCATCTAACAAATGACATATCCACAGTCACAACAACTCAGCAATAAATAAAACACAAAGAAACATAAAATAAGCAATCAAATCGATAATTACAAGAAAGCTCTGTTCTTGACTTACATCAGTGACTCAATACTGCAGTTTTCTATTATATCCTACTAAGTGTTGGTCAATGAAAGAAAAACTATGTACTTTAAAAATAGCAGCTAGAATTGCTTGAGGGTTTTTTTTAAATATTTTGAATATTCAAATGATGACTAATGACGATGACTATCCCTTCTACAAAATCAACAATTTGCATGTCTCATGTCCTTGCTTTTCTCTGCTCTTACTTTGTGCTTTTATAAATGCAGCAAGACATTAATGAAGCATTATTTTAGTATTTGTGCAATTGTCCTCAAAGTGCAGGCTTCAGCTCGTGCTGGGGTCTAAACAGAGAATAACATGGAGCTGAGTAAAGTGATAGATTTTTCATAAAATACAATTATTTGACCAATACAGATTTTTTTTTAACCTGAATCCCAAATACTCTATTACAGAAGTACTTGTGAAACATAAGTCCATGACTTTTCCTAGACTTTGTGGATTTATTGAACTTTCCAACATTTTTAGAGGTTTGTAAAATTCCTTGACCATTCTCAGCTTTTCCACGCACATATGAACCCTGTAACTTACCTTCATCACTTTGAAGATGACAATCTCCCCCGTAGTTCCTGGTGTTAAGGAACTCATCTGCAGCAGGTCTGAGTACCTTGACAGATACACTCCTAAGAACATATGCAGACACATATGTCACACACACACACAAAGTGATAAAATTACTACTTATAGAATTTTTTTTAAAGTGGTACCTTGACTTAAGAGTGCCCCAACTAACAAGTTTTTCGAGATACGCCCAGTCTCTTGTACAATTTTGAGTTTAGAGCTGAAATTTAGAGCAACATCTGCCGAGCATGTCGTGTTTCACTCGTTCACCTTATGCGGTTATCAGTGTTGTTCTTACATTTATTTTGCAAAACTTTGCTTTTCCAACCATCCGGAGGCGGCGTTTTTGAGGGCCTGGAACGGATTAATGGCATTTCATTTATCTCAATGGAGAAAATTGATTTGGCATACGAGTAGTTTGAGTTTTAAGCTCCGTCACAGAATGAATTAAACTCATGAGTCAAGGCACAACTGTATATTTATTGGAAAGCTGATTCAAAAAAAATAAATTCAATATCAGCTTGTTGTGACTTCTCCTTTTAGCATACAATAACTCAATATGTAGATCATTTGTGCACTATTACCTTTACTGGGGTTTCCCAACACTGTGATCCAGCTTTGACCCACAAACAGTCCCTTCTCACAGAGCAGGGGAAGCTAAAATAATAAACAAAACACAAGTTAGATCACAGATATAATGAAAGCTCAGTCTTAAAGGACATGGTTTATTGGCATGATCCCAGTTATTTTACAGAGAAAACACAGTCATTCAGTTTTCTAGGAACAACTACAAGCAGTGTCTTTTCCCTGTAAACTTAATTTCTTAAGAAGAAATCTTCTAAGAAATGCATACTTCCCTTAAGTAAATCAACTATGTAAATTGACTATGTCTCTGGATAAAGGCCAAAACAAACAAAACCACTGTTAACTGAACCAATAGCTCGGTGTCACTCCTACCTTTTGAGTGTCTGTCAACAGGAAACAGTAGCACTCCTCCAGCTCCTTATCGGTCCTCCCCTCTGCCTTCATCTCCTTCCTTTTTTCCACAAACTTAAAAACACACACACACACACACACAAATAATGTGATCAATCATAAACACAAACACACACAAAAACGATCAGTACAATGATCACTAAACAAACAATATCAACTCTCTAAACAGCTTTTCCTAATGACAAACCTATCCAATTCATAATTCTTACTCCAAGACCTAAATTTTCTCACAACACAAACATGGCCTCTGAAATAGCTGCTCTACCATGCAAATACAGGCAATACATTCACATGTGTTCAGCTCATTTCAGTGTAAATAAACAGTAGTTTTTATTGAATGAAATATTGATTTGTTCATTTCCTGAGCACTGCACTGACACTTGCACATGTCCATGGTACATCAATCCCGATATTTCTATTTAATTTCTTTTATTTATTTAACCAGGAATTTTTTTTTTTTTTTTTAAAGATGAACAATCTATTTTGCGTGATCGTGCAAGACAAATACACAGAGCAGAATACACTAAATAAGAACTGATTCTGTTTTAACTAAGCTAACTATATTAGCTTGTCGAGGTTAAATCTCCTTTAACATCTCCTTTTACTTCCTTTAATATTGAAATATATGATTTCAGAATTCAGGATTAAAATTACTTTTTTTTTTCTTCCTAAAATCGAATCAGTTATACTGCTTACTGTACTGTGACAATGTCTGTTCATTCACCTCCCTAACTGACAGATGTGTTAACAGGATCTACAGCTAAGTAATACTGGCATAATTTTTGTGGCATCACATTAATTTGCATTGCTTACTAAATCTGGCCCCTGTTCTCTTCCTGTGTGGACGCCCCATAAGAAGTTACGTCACCAACTACCAGCTGAGGCTTGCTTATGACTGCTCTTTACTCTCTCATGGAAAGGAAGTTATCTACCCAAGCAAGGTGTTAAAAAAAAAAAAAAAAGACAGCAGAGTGGTTTTGTGATACTTTGATCTAGAAAATGAATAGTCAGAGTACACCAGCGGTTTCAACATAAGGCCCTGAAACCAAAATCAACACACCAAATCGTCCAATCCAACCCACAGCACAGCTTTGGAGAATGTTAAAACTTGTGTTTGTTTTATAATGTTCTTACTGACAAAGACATCAACTACAGCCTGTAAGTAAATGATGAACCATTAAGGGGCATAAAATGAGCTGCTGTCTACTGTCAGCATTCCTTAAAATAACATACAAATTCCCTTTTTTTTTTTTTTCAATATTTACTACAGAATTTGATTTTTTTTAAGAGGCGGTTTGCATTAAAAAAGACATTTTCTTTGACTAAAAAGATTTCTGGTTTTTATTTTATATTCCAGGCAGTTTTTCTGCATTATAAAAGTAAGATTTACATTGCGGTTATTTGTCTTAAGATATATCAAGCATTAAACGCGTAGTTAAACTTCTTTATATGGAAAGAAAGGTGAGACAATTTTTTTTCTTTGTTTTTAGTACTATCATCTGTGTTGCCCACAAAGTAAACTGTTACAAAACCACTTGACCAGACCATCCAAGCAAAGACGTGTGGTCACAACCTGCAAGTAAAGTAGTCCCTGCACGTAACCCACGGTGATCTTGATTTCCCCCTCCCTCCCATTTAGTTGTTTAATGAATTCATGACTCTGACTTGTTTATCTCTCACCTCTTTCTCCAGCAGCTCACTGTAGACAAGCCGAGGTATGGAGTACGTAAAGCATCCAGCAGAGTTAGTGTCGATGTAGCTGGAGGTCAGGATAGTCATCATGTCTTCATACTCCCTGGACTCAGTGGAGACATACTGGAACAGAGCTGCAAGAAAGACCGGAGAGATTAGAGCCAATACAAACCACTTTCACAAATAATCCCTCAGAATAATGAATCCATTTTACCTTTATAATTTACATATATACCTTTACACTGTCTTCATTATTTTGTAGCAAGAAACAGGTGTGTTTGGCTGTTTGCAGTGTTCTCTGTTCAACATACGGTAACATTTTCTTCCACTGGACAAGTAATTGATGATGTAACTTCTTTTGGGGTGTCCACAGAGGAAGAGATAAGGGGCCAGATTTAGTAAGCAATGGGCCACAATATTAATTCCATGAAAAGCTGATATCATGACACCCCTAGTTTGCAGGTAACTGAACTTGATGCCTTGCTTTGTGTATGTGTAACAGGCATATAACGAGCTGAGGGGGAGCTCTTTCAACCGTATCTTCAGTTTCCCTGGTCAGTCCTGGTCATCACTGACTTTAACACACTTGCCTCTAGAAGGACCATAAACTCAAGTCAAATAACAGGACTTTAACTTGAGCTTGTACAGAATATTACTGCTCTTGTCAGTAACCCTGCTGTTCACGTATATCAGACAAAATTGTAAAATTTGAAATAAAGCCACCAATATGCCCCACCCTTTATGTCGCTTTGAGCACAAAGGCTCCTCATAAGGAGGCCCACAGAAATATTTGACAGACTGGCTTAATTACAACAGGACAGGTGCTGTTTTTTTTCTTTTTTTTAGCCAGATTCTCAGGAGAACAGGAAAAACCTGTAGCAGCTGCCTCCCTCGGAGTGGAGAGGGCTCAGCTGGAGCATCAAACACTAATGTGTGATTTAACAAAAAGAGCTAATGCCCCCAGTAACCCACAACATATTTGTCCGTTCCACAGCTACAACACCAGGGTTGAGACAAAATATTCAAACACAAGCCAAAAAGATGTGGTGGTAGTTTCAAATTGTGGTCTCAGACAGCTATAATACATAAAGAAGATGTCAGCATAGCCTGACTATCTTTGAATTTACTGCTTCAAAAAACCCTATAATCATCAGCATGGTGGTTATTAACTATGTTTGTTAAATGATGCATTCAAAGGAGGAAAAAGAAAAATAACTAAGATTTCTCTTGAACTAAAGGAGGCTTTTTCAGTAGGAGTGGTCTATTAGGCTTGGAAAGACTGCTTGGAAGGTACCAAGGAACATAACAGTTTGAGTAGGACAGGACAGGATAGGATAGGATAGGGAGTTGCATGGAGTACATGGGGGATATATATGCAATGACATCCTCTAAAACTGGCTCCCGGGCCAAAATTATTGTGTTGGTTTGGTGCTAATCAAGGCAAAAATAAAATCACCATGGTCTCAGGCTTACATCTTTCTGACCTACCAACAATCCCTAAAAAGCACAACACCAAACTTTATCTCAAAGCTCATTTAACTTTTAGCCTTAATCTTATAGTAGACTCTGTAAAAAGCGCCAAAAAATGTCCTCAAGATCCCATTTTAGGGTCGACACGATAACAGTAGCCATAAACACAAGAGCAGAAAGCGCAAAGTACATGTGAGCACTTGGACACTTATAACTGGAATGTAAACAAGGAGGCGGTTACCTCGCTTTAGCTAACCCTCGTTAGCAGAAGCTAATGTCAACATAAAGGGGAAAATGCAGCTTATAATTTCGTACATGAATGCGTGAATATTTACTTTCACTCACAAACACCCTAAAATCATCTATAAAGTGAAAAATAAACACCTGTTGCACTTACAAGCATGTAATTAATGTTAACTGGCTGGTGACGCTAACTCCTAGCATCCCTCACTAAGCCTAACCGTGTACTCAAACACACTGGAGCTTGTACGGAGTTTGATACACGTAAAACTGATGGTGACAGTAGGGCTGGACATATGAAATACACATTTGTGGACACAACCGTCATGTTGTGCGATGTAAGAAGAGAAAACAACGTTTTCGAATTGATACTCGCACGTCCGATAATGGAACTTCCCCGTTGCTAACTCAGGTTCAGGGCAGTGTTTCAGGTGTAAAAAACAAATCTAAACAAATTAGCACAGAGAAGTCCTGAATGCTATGGTGTAATTTTACTAATATACAGACACAATGGCCCACCTTTCTTTTCCTCAGTTTTCTTCGGTATGTGGAACTTGTAGGGCTCCTTGGGCATATGCCTCTTATGGACTATGTGAGGTGCCGAGTTCCTCCTCTCCATCCTCCCGCCAGCAGCGCCCGGTCTGTCCGCTCCAGGCTGACATTCTCTGGAAGGGGTTAGGTCGATCACCTCGCCATCTTGCAGGCTAACATTAGCTCCAAGCTCCGCAGCAGCAGACACCCTCCTCGAACGACCTGCTTCCCTCCGGGGCAGGCTGCTGTCGTCCATTGTATGTATTTTGGACGTAACGGAATAGTCTCTCCTCAACCGTCACTCCGGTACCTCGTCTCTGCTACAGTCCCGCGATGACACCGCTGTTACCTCCTAATCCCGCAGCGGAGGGAGTCGGAGCAGCAGCACTCAACCCGCACCATGCTTCCTGTGGGCGCAGATCTTCTTCACTGAGATTTAGCTGCGCCTGGTTATCTCAATGCTGCCATCTTCTGGAAAACGAACCCCATCCCCACAGTTTCATTACGGTTTCAGTGGACGCAGAACAGCGATGGGTAAATAAACTGTAAAATAAAGCATGTCAGGGTTCAGGGAGGACAAAGCCTCGAGCCTAAAACTGCGACAGTTCCCACGATGTTTTTCCACGGTGTAGCACAAAATGGTGGTATAAAGGGCCACTGAAAGGGAAAATAAGAAGCCGAGCAGCAGGGCCGTGCAGAGACGTTTAAAGGGGCGGGTGCTCAAAGTTAAAAAGGGGCACATTGAACCAGGCTGAATAACAACAACACACATTCATTCATCAAGAATCTAATATGGGATCGCATCATACTATATCACTGTTGTGAGGTGGCGACAATGCAAAGCAAACGTAGCCTATGTTTTACCTGATGGGTACAATGTTGCTGTTGAGGGGTTTCTGCTGCTCCTGCTGCTGATAGTGCTGGAGGGCAGGGCTGTGTTGATCTGAGACTGTAGACATTAAAAAGTCCATAGGAGAGATGGTAGCTGATTAAACAAGTATCATGACATAATAACAAATTGCAAAGATTGGTGACAGCGCTTGGAACCATAAGGCAACAAAAAACTGTGAGAAATAAATTAGGCTCTGCCTGTGAATCACTTTTTGCTTCTCTTCTTCCTTCCATCCCATCATTTCATATATCACTCTCCACTTGCTGTCTATCTGAGAACAAGGCACAACTTGCTATTGCAATAAACTATAATCTAATTATCCACACCTAACAACTCTTGCACTTAATCTATAATAAAATGACAGAAAAATGTTATAGCACTGCCTTTAGTAGCCTCACACAGCTCCTACTGTTTCCTCCTCATGTCCTTACCAGGCATGTCTGGACAATGTTATATCATGAAAGTAATAATTTAAAAAAATCCATATACATAAAACAAACACATGCACGCACACACAGTGTAGAGATACAATAATTTTACTGCTGTAAAATCCAAATTTTGTCTTATTTAAAATATAAATCTAATATAATCTGCTTCTTAATGTATGTTCTTTAAAATACAGCGTGTGTTTTTTAAAATATTATAATAATGCATAATTATGTGGACATGCATATTAGATCGTTTTTTAGTGAAATATAAGCCTTCCAGAAAGGCAGGAAAAGCCCGGTAACTTACTTTAAAACTAAATATGTTCCCTAAAACGGTGGACAGAGCTACAGACCCATGACAGCCTTAACCAGTGAGCTAGCAGCTATGACCAGCACTACATGTGCAGTTAATAAAAGGACAGGTAATGTTTGTCGCGCTGTTGCACACACAGCACGCTCATTTGTTTCAGTTTGTCAGTTGCCACAAGACAACTTACCAACGTGTACGTAATAAGCCAATACTCCTGTGTGCTATAGACTATAGTGTACGCTGTACACCTACTTACTGGTTTTGTCGCATCAGTCTGTATGGAAGAAATATAGTAAGTCTGTGTCTCTGAGTTAATTTGTGTTTCTCCTACAGCTCCGGACTGCAAAAAATGCGCGTGCTCTTTGTGAGCTCGTTCCCGGCTCGTAACCAGCGCGTTCTGCCGTCAAGAGCGATCATTGGTTAAATGTGATCATGTGACTGATGCAAGCCAGATCCTTTTATTCAGTAAAACTGTGATTAATAGTATACATTATTGTTGAGGGGCACAGACAAGACTCCGCACGCCCACACAAAAAATAAAAATAATTTTTTTTAAAAAGTTGCCTCAACAAAAGGGCACTTTGGGCACCCATCCTGAAAGGGGGGGGTGCTCAAGCCCCTCCAGCCCCCCCACCCCTCCCTCCTGCACGTGCCTGGTGCAGGTAGATAATGCCTTGACCGCCTTCATTCACAATGTCCAATCGTCCAGCAGTGAGATCCCGCCTGCACACAATGTACCCTTTATTCCTGCACATCCTGCTTGTTCATGCTTTGATATGGACAGACTGTCAAATACTTCAGCCATCGAGGCAGCTCTGCAGCAGGGGGGCGACCATAAACTGTACTGTTTCTGGTTTGGCTGGTTCAAGTAATACAAACAGACACATCAAATGTAGTTTAGCACATGGTGTCTCTTGCTTTCTAAAGATACAGTTTCTGTATTTTCCAGTTGGAAATAAATGTGTATTTATAATAAACGTATTTTATAGTGAAAAAGAACTGAGAGGAAAAACGTGAGATTCGTTTTGAAATATTTCCAATGCGTCATTGTTATTTGAGCAGTCAGTTTATCTGTACATGATCTGATTATTTCATACTGAGAATATTTCTTTACAGCAAGTGAACGAAAATGATGTCATGCTATTCTGAGGTTGTAATGAGCACTGCACGGTTAACATTAATTCGCAGTAGTGGACTAAGCTGGAGTGTCTTAATGCGTGCTCTGTAAGGAAATCACACAATGTTCTAACATCTGTGAGAGAAATATTTCCCGTCTAAGTGACTTTTTCAGTCTCAGCTGACTGTAGCTTTCCTATACCTTTGAAAAGTACTTTTGCATAATGGCCATTGACTAACAATAGGCTGTGAGCTCAGTTTCATGATCGTTAATATGCAAATTTATATGACTATGGATCAATGTCCATGAGCAGTCATTCACAGAAAGCCGGGAAATGGCTGCAATTACAGCATTGTGGTGGAAGATGTACAAATCCCCCTCACTGGTTCAGAGATGGGTTTTTACTTTTTACATCGATGGCTTTCTTTACTCCGGTGGTCCTCTCTGTCCAGGATGTGCACATTCTCATCACTGAAAGGGTGGTCAGTGGACTGTTGGTGTAAATAGACTGTGGAGCCTTGACCTGATGAGGAACTTGTTTGGGTTCCTTGATGTACACTGCTCAAAAACATGACAGGAACACTTTTTATTCATAGTATAGTGACAAGTCAATATAACTTCTTGGACATTGATCTGATAATTTAAGTAGCAGAGGGGTTGTTCATCAGTTTCAGCTGCTTTGGTGTTAATGAAATTACCAATAGGTAATTTCATTAATTTCATTAACACCAATAGAAGTGCAACAATGAGACAACCTCCAAAACAGGAATGGTTTTACAGGTGGAGGTCACTTGTATTTTGACTGCCGTTAGGTATTAAGATGAAATGCACCAGCGTGTGCAGTGGTTCCTGTTGGTGCACAACAATGCCATGAAAATGACATCCGTCGTGATCTGTCTTTTTTTTTTTGTTGTTTGACTTACCCCTGGTTTGGAAGATTTGAAGGCAATCAGAATAGCTTGTTGTAACTGTAGCTTTTGTGCATTTGAGTGATTGCATTTCTGTGTGTGCAAGGCGATAGGAATTTTTTTTAAACTAACAGTAACCATCCATCCAATGAAAGGCTTTCTATTAAAACAATTTATTAATGCTTTGTTCCAGACAATAATACTTCAACTTATAATCACCTTGTTCGTTTTTGCACGGTAGTGTTCTCTGAGCAGAGATGTCCAAATCTCCTCTTATAAGGACTTTGCAAAAGTTTTGAGCCACCTCTCATTTCTTTACATTGTGCTCCCAATAAGTGAAAAATTAGTCTTTTTGGACAATTGCTGCTATTTCACTAATTTTCAGTCCAGTCCTTGTACCTGAACATTTTCAGAAGAATGTTTTTCTCTGTTTATTTAACCACTTCGCATTGACCTATGAAACATTCAAGCACTAAAAATGCATCTAACTCAATGGATGTAGCAGTGTTGTCTACATATAACAAGTAAGCAGAAATACACCATTTGGTCCCATTTCTTTTGGTTTAATCTACAAAAATATGAGAATAGAGCAAAAAGCAGCCAACATCCAAAGAAGAGCTTTGAATTTCATTCAATAGGAATGGAAAACTATTCCCAAAGACTGCATAAAGAAATTATTAGAAAACTTGCCTAAGAAAAGGTGTTCATACCAAATATTGACTTTCCAGGGTTTTTTTTTTTTGCCCTATAAACACTATTTCCATGTACTCTTCTACATGTTTGAATAAAGTGCTGCACCTATTTCCCATTTCCCTAGCAAGATATATAGAAAAATGAAGGGGTGGTTCAAAGCTTTTACACAGTAGTGTAATTCATTTAAAAAAATGGCAGCCTTAATTAAGTGTAAATGTCATTATTAGCATCTTCAGCCTTGCTAACATTGACGGAGCTGACAGCAATCATTCTGTGTGTAATATGTAAGCACGAATATAACAAACAGTAGCGCTTGTTTTTTTCCCCCCTTCATTCATATTACACAAATACTTCATATACATTCTTTATATACATACAGTACATGTACAACAGGCTCCTTCTTTAATGCAGAGTTGAACACAGAGCATTTCACTTAGCAGCAGCTTCAGCTGCTGCAGGCTACTTCAGTTTAACAAAATATTGTTGGGATACATGATAAAAACTGTAAATCTACAGAACACAGAAGATAAATAAAGTCTGCTAACTTATTAAAAGTGAATGTACAGCTGAGTTCTCTCCAGTGTTTTCAGACATGCTTTAAAAAGTTTTTGAAACATAGCAGCAGAGGAGGAAGCGATCCCACATCTGACAAGAAAACTAAAACAGGAGATGAAAACCAAGTGACGTCCGCCAGAGCTGAAAAATGAAGCCAATGTACAAATGCCAATAACTGCAGTTCCTCTCATGGCCGCTTGGGGCTAGCTCCAAAAGGAAATCAATCCCCATAGTCTCCCCATGCAAAGATGCCCAACAACCACATATTTACAGCCTGGTACAATTAATGTTTTGGCTTCATTGAATAGTTTCTTTCCCTCCATAACAACTGAACGGGGGGGGCTTTTGGGCTCAAAGTAGGAGATTTGTTGCTTTGCTTTTAAAGGAATTATCTAAGAATACTGTAATTTCCTGTTTGGTACAAACCATCCAACACATCTCTTCTTTAGTTTTGGAGACTGAAATTATGGCATTCTGCAGACTTATTTTTCCAACCAGAGGAGTCCACGTTTTACATACAGTCTGTGTCTCCACCAATCTATACAACAGAATTGGTATGTAAAATATACCAATGAGCAAAAATACATGAGATGATGGCACAATTAAGAGTGTTTTCACATTTCCCAGTTTTCTGTTTTCCACTACTCACCTCACAGGACCAGTGAGGTGAGCAGTTAGCCTATCCAGGAGAAGCCTGTGCAGGAGCAACCCCCATACTTCTGTGTTCATAACCTCAAACATAAGAGTAACCAAATAACTGATGATTTCTACAGTAAATGGAGACATACGTTTTGTTATCATTCGGTGAAAGTAGTGTTCTCAGCCTGGTCACCACTATAAAGACTGTTGAGCTCTGCTGGTGGTAAGGGGTGGTTGGAACAGGATTTATTTCTTCAAAGGCGGGTCCAGTACAAAATGTGAGTTAATGTTAGCTATGATGGAGCCAGGGGGGAGCTGGAAAGGAAACCTGTGAGGGAGGGCCTTTGAGCAGTCTTTCAGCAGTGTGTGCCTGGTGAGCAACTTCCACAGGGTGTGGTATCCAGTCCTCTTAACAACATCCATGGCTAACTGCAGTTAGAACACAGCAGATAGCAGCACGGGAGACGATTACTTCCAATCCTCAGTCTTATGACCAACCTTTGCACACACCATTTAGCAACTGCTAACATCATTTCCTCTATTTCACTTTTTCAATTCTCCTTAAACAGTCAAAACTCTAAATTCACCAAGGTTATTATAGGGACTTTTATTTTTGCATCCGTGGGTCAACCAGAGTGGGTGCAGCAGTGAGACTGTCCTGGGAGTATTTAACCTAAGGGAGAGGAGTGTCTCACTGCCTGCCTAACAATGTTTTTACATTGCTAGGGAGTGACTGTTTACTCCGATGTGGAGAATAAGTGTGTATCCTCCTGACTCATCTCCTTGAGATATACTTATTTCTAAATGTGTAATGTTTGCTGTCATCTTATCTCTGTTCTCATCAGATACAGTGGCCAGTTGTCTTCTTTATTTAATGTTTTTGATCTAATGTTGTTTGAATTTGGCCTTTTCTGAGTCTTTATTTCACCTGGAGCACATTTTTGTTACTTCACCATATCTCCTGGACTTAACATCTTACATACATATCACAGTATAAGCATTTACCACCTTCAGCTTAATTCTGAGCAGTATGTCTGTGAGCAGTGAGCACTGGTTGGTCTCGTGACTTCTCCCAAGAAGTTTGTTCATATACGTTTCATTTGGCTTTTTGTTAGTTACATCATTACTAAATACCAAAGTTGGTTGAGTTTAGTTCCAGTCCTGATTCATGCCATCCTATCAGCACCTGTGGGACTGCAGTGAGTCCATCTCACCAGTGTCCATACCATCCTCTCTTTCTTCTGCAGCACTGCTCCACTCCTCCTCCATCACTTCATCCTCTACTTGTTTGGGAATTGAAGAGGAAAGGAGGGAAATGGAAACTGCATCTTCACATCTGCTGAGAGTCTGTCCCGCTTCATCCACCTTAAAGTCTACAGTGGCTCCTGGTTCAGCTCCCATCTCCACACCAACACCCTGATTTCCCTCCATCTCCACACCTGTCTTTGCTTCACTGATCACAAGCTGTAGTGCTCTGTCCATCTCTGACTTACCATGCAAACCCAAATCTGCCTCCATCTCCTTCCCCGTCATTGTCTCTTGAGTTAAACCCAGCCCATCTCCATCCCTCAGTCCAAGCTCTTGCTGTCCATGCAGACCTGCCTCTCCCTCCAAGCCCTGTCCTTTCACACCCCACAGCCCCACTGTTTCAACAGGTGGCCCTGGTTGTTCATTGACCCCCGTCTCTGGACAATGTCCCGTCTGTGGCAGCTGGTCTCCAGTCAGTGCTGCAGCTTCTTTGGCTTGTCTAATGCAGTTGATCCACTGTTGTTTGTTGAAGGCGTCACTAGCCTGAAAGCAGTGGCTCTGCAGTTGGCCTCCAGTACGGTATGAAACCCGGAAGAAGTTCTTTGCTGTGTGGAGGAGAAAATGAGGAAGAAGAAACAGGAGACAGAGGTGGTGAACATAAGCTGGAATTTGATAAAAATCCTATAATAAACAGAATAAACTGATATGTAAACATTGTTGCCAAATTATTATCAGAAATAAAAACAAAAACAAACAAATGACCAATAAAGGTGTATATTTACTAAAGCAAAAGTGAGCTGTGCACAAGTTTTATAGCACAGCACAAAGTCTCTTAGTTTTCCTTGATATACCATTTCACTAGATCACAACCTGAACATCATGGTTTGATGGTACGTCAATACATCTATCATTTTTATTGTCACTACTAAGTTCAGAACCCTAACAATAACTTTAAACCTAAAAAATGGATTTAACCCATAAAATAGCCCTTTAAAGGCAGGCGAAAAGATAACGCAGGTCATAAAATCCAACATAATACAAACTTTAATCACTCTGACTTTATACACCCACTGATTATCACATGGACAGCTCTACCAGCATGTTTTAATATAATTTAATGCATTTTTCTGTCTCTGGAGTCATTTGACAAATGACACACCTCTTATCAAAATTGTAACTTCACGATTGTTTTCATGTGGCACATTCAGGGACACCCATAAAGTGTAGCTACCTTCCCAGAATGGGCAGTTTAAAAAATCCTGGAATCACTCATGTAAATTTAGTGCTACAACAGGTTCCTCTGGTTTCAGTCACAGACACTAGACATTCAATCTTTTGGCTACACGGATGTCCACTGCGTTCAGGACAAGATCATTGAGGTCCAACATTAAATACTAGCTTACAATCAGCATACTAGTTCATGTGGTGAGTGCAGAATATGACACATTTAGTTTCTACCACGCAGAACTACAAAAACATTTTTGTAACCTTAACTTTGGTCACAAAGACATCCTCAGCATGCAGCACACCTGACACTGATTTAAATAGCTGTGTCCAGTACTGACTTCGTTCATTGTTGCTGAAGGCCCCTCTGATGGATCCGCCCACTCTTATCTCGCCATCTGATAGGTCTTCCAGGTCCAGCTGACGAATGGGGATTGGCTGGCGGCAGAGCTGATAGCCGACTGGCTGGTCGTTTGACGACATGGATCTGGTGATGACCAGGACGTCCTGGAAAAGGAACACGTGGAGCTTCTAGAAAGAGAGAATCAGACAGAGTACAGGTTTTAATTTCTTCCTCTAGAGATACCAATAAAATATATGGATGATATTTATGAGTGATTTTGGTCATAAAATGGTAATGTTATGAAAGTATTAGAAGCATTTCTGTATAGCATTAAAATCAACCAAATTAAGGAATCACCTTTAAAAAGCTCACGTATGTCATGAAAATTCATATAATGCTATATAACTTTGAGGTCCATTTTGACCTTTGGATATATTAAAGAATGGATAAATGGGGAAGGGAGGACGATAAAGTTGTAGAATTGTACTGACGAGTCCTCTGTTGTTCTTCAGCTCTCCATGGCAACTGAGGGTCTTGGAGCGGTCGATGAGTTCGTCCCTTTGTCCGTCCTCTGTGTACACCAGACGATCCTTGTAGTATTGACACTCCGACTCTCCTGTCTGCCTGTTGATGTCCGCTACCACGCTTTGAACCATCAGCATCTGTGGGACAGACACACAAACACACTGTTATCTCATTGGACATTTGTGGTCAGCTGAGTTGATGGATGGTTGGACAGTCATGGACTTCTACAGCTCTCAATCTTCTGCCCACACTGAAGAGGCAGCCAGGATTTTCTCTGTCTGCATTTTTGTCTATTGCCTTACTGTCCCTCGACTGTCTTTGGGATGAAGGTGCGTCTTGAGACATGTCTGCACTAAGCAAGTTTATGTAACAGTCATGAGTATTAGTCTTTTTAAAGGCTTTATCTGGTGACCCAAACTGATGAAGTATTGCAATCTTAGTTTTCCTCACCGCTTCGTCCAGGTGCTGTCGATCTGGGTGGTCGTTGGCTGTGTGCTTGAGGATCTCTCTGAGCAGCAGTGGGTATTTCACCAGCCGGCTGCGGGGGATGTCCAGGAAGTTCCACAGGTCCAGCTTCCTGCTAAAAGGTGACTGGAGACAACGCTGCAAGAAGTCCTGGACTCGCCGATCTTGCTTCTTCTGGTCCAACAAAGCCTTGGCTTTGACCTGGTTACTGCAGTACGGCGTGTAGGCAGAGAGGCACGGCAGCTACAGCGACACAAAGACAAACACTCTGATAAATACTTGGTGAAGAGCTAATATCTGGATTCCGCTGTCTGTTGATTAGAAAAACGCTCACCCAGTCAGTTAAAATATGTCCTACATGATCTGTGGACCCGTCAGGTTTTCTGGCATCTCGGAGGCGACTCAGCAAATCTGAGGTAAGACAGAAAAGTTAAAATTTATAAAAAGAGACGTCAGAGTGAGAATAATGGATGCTTTAAGGGCATCAAGTAATACAGAGAAAGGAAAACTCCACAAAATGAAATTTACACTTAAACTCTAATATTTTATACAATAGAAGTGCAAATATGTGTCATGGTTCTGGGTCATTTTGACACAGCTCTTTGAGTTATGTTTTGGTTTGTATTAAGGGTTATATTCTTTCAGTCTGTCTCAAGTCCGCGTCTTTGTAAATTATTTCTTTTTTCCTATTTTATTTTGATAGTCCACATCCTATGTCAGTGTATTCACTTTTACTTCCCCCTGTCTCGTTAGCCTTAATTTCTCCCAGCTGTGCCTTTCTCCTGTTTTCCATTTCCTGATTGCTCCACTGTGTATTTAAGCCCTGTAAGCTGTTTGTTTTGTCTCAAGCGCCTGATACATGTTAGTCCTTAGTTTCGCCGTTCAGAGTTTTGGTGACTTTAATTTATTAAGAGTTTTTTCTAGCAATAAAGCTGCGTTTTGAGTTCCAGTCCCGTCTTTGAGAGTCCTGCATTTTGGGTCCTTTTTCCTGCCTGCCTGCACACAGCCTAACATGATAATATGTAAGTGTATATAAAAATGTATCGACCAAAAAAAACAAAAAAAACAAAAACGTGGCCAGCTTATATCACTAATTGTTTTACTTTAACTGCCATGACTCCTCCACCTGAATGCTAATGAGGCTCGGTTTAATTTTAGTTAAGAAAGCAATGAATTATCAAACATCCATTACAGATTGTTTTTATACACAGAGCATTAAGGTTGTTACATATGTCATTCATCTGTATGTCTACATAAAGATCATGCAAATGACTAAAGATTCCTGTGAAAAGATGCTGTAAATGGTGGTAATTAAAATATTTTCCTACCTTCATGCAGAGGTATAAGTGATTCCAGAGTACCAAAGATCTGGTTCAGTTCTTGCTCGGTCATGATGGATAGCTTGAGCATTGGGTCGTGGTAGGCCTACAGCACACGCATAAAGAAACACAGGTGACTATACTGACACTGAAGGCAAGTTCTTCATTGAAATATAAATAAACAAGTTACTTCACCTTCTTGGCCAACTTCAGATCCTCCACCAAATCCTGCTCGCCCTGAGCCAGCTCAAATATAGCCTGCAAAGGAAGAACAATTACTTTGAGAACTCAATGCTACAGATTGACGTTAGTGTTAGTTTGGTTCAGTGGCTGAAAAATGAACATGCAGTATCTGGAGTGGCCACTTGAGGCTGACTTACAAAGTGAGTCAGCCCCATTGACTCCCATGTTAAAATGCCCAACTTTACAGCAGAAACAAACATGTTTACAGTGTGGTATATAAACAGCTTTAGAATCTATGGATATTTCCCCCTTTATAACGCCTCTATGGTGAAGTTAGGTATGAGGCCCTTTAACTGGACTGGACTCATTTCTGGTGTTGGTGCCTGTACAGCTGGTCCACGACGCTGTGCTTCATTTTGATGGGGGACGTTCTCTTTTTTTCTTTTTCTACTTTTATCACTAATTAGCAGCTCTCTGTGTCAGGGGGTGATTAAATGTGGAGTCCAAAAACAAATGGGTGGCAACATTGGCTACTTCCATTTTTTTTATACATACAGTTTATGATTCGGGCCAAAAAGTTAATTCATCATTGTTGTTTGGCAGTGTTTCAAATTTCGTTGTACATGTACAGTGACAAAAAGGAGCTATTCTATTCTACTGATCATTCTTGAGACTATATTCTAGTATTTAAATTAGAATAATGAATTGAAATAATGTACCTGAACACTTTGAAATGAGAAATAAACTGCTAAAAATTCACTGATTTTCACCTCTTGTCGTTTTATCTCTTTGGGGCTCAGAGGTTGTGCCGCTCCCAGTCGGACGTCAAATGTCTCGCTCCACAGCTTGCTGTCCCGACGCTTGGAGGCCGGAGCAGCTGCGGTTGAAACCCTCGGGGCAGTCATGGAGGACGAAGGGTTCGAGAGTGTCGCTGAGATAACACGTGTCTTTGTCGAGGAGGAAGGAGGAGGAGGAGGAGCAGCTCTCTCTGCCTCATTACGAAGACTGATGGTGCGCTGCAGAAACAGAAGATGGTTTAAATATATATTAGAACTTATTTCTGTTTGTTAAATTGTACTATTCTGTAGCCTAAAACTTTTGTTGCCATCCCTGATTCTGGAAGTAAAAACTCATCAATCATCAATTTTCCCCATAAATGATATTATTAAATAATATAACTTGACTATAAAACTGTTTTTTGAATTATGACCTCCCTTCACTCCCTCAGCATAGGTGCCAGTATACTGTAATGTCACCTGCTATTGAAGTCAAGCTGAGTGTTTTGGGTGTTGCCATTTTTGTGTTTTGAAATCGGCCAGGATCTGGCTGCACATTCATAAGGCGGCGATATCTTCAGAGATTTCTGTGTAACCAGTCGTCTTTTTGCCATTAGAAAGAATGTAGTTTTAAGGCACTTCCACACTCACTTCACTGCTATTTTCTACTCTAAACTGTAGGATTCATAGCTGCCCCTGCACGAGATCTCTGATCTAATTTCATCAAACCTAATACTTAAAATGGGAAGCAGGATAAGAGCCACTCTCATTTCCCATCTTAAATAACCTACTACTAAAAAAACTGAAGACATGTGATTGTTGGTTTACCTGCAGTGTCTGGCCAATCCTCTTCAGCGGCGTTGTCTTGACGGGGGGCAGCAGGCTGGCCAGAGATGCTACCCGGGATACAGGCTTACTGCGCTTGGTGCTGGGCTCCTGGAAGGGGTGAACAGAGCCACATGGTTACATTATCTCACAAAATCAACACACCTGGGATACAAACGACCCAAAGGGTTAACAAGGACACCAATTAATCGACCAAACATCAATACCAGCAGACATTTTTCTTGTTTTATATCAGCCAGTCAGAGGTTTCTGTGTGTGCAAATGTTCTAGTTGATTGTGGGAAAGCCGAGTCTGGTTTGTTGACATATTATACAATAGCATGACTCAAAAGTCTTTCCCTCAGTACCAGACTTTATCACACACGCAGTCATGTTTCACTAACTTATGTCACGCACACACTAAACAGGACGGTTGTTATGGTCACTGTGTGAGACTGGATGATCATGGAGACAAGAGGCTGTTGTGGTTTCATGTAAAGCTTAAATTTAACATGGATTTTGCTTTAGCCAATTATTTTTATAACACTGAAATCCCTACAAATTCATGTATTACGTGTAGCAGCTGATCTCAAAGCGAATGTGGACATCCATGTTAGTTCTATATTATTGAGATTACATGTAGATTGTTGTTTGTAAATAAAAAAAAATAAAAACAATTTTTAGTGCAGTGACACTTTGGAGTCAATGGAATAAGTTTTCAAACATATCTTTAAATAAATTTTCATCAAAGAATGACACTAATAGTGCCTGTTATTGATTACTTTGTCTGAATCAATGAATATACAGCTTGCAAAGACGAAGAATATATGTATTTATTATTCAATTATTTGGTGTTGATAAACAGCCGTTTTGCCATCTTGTTATATGCAGTGACATAATGAAGATAAAAAGAGTAAAATTATCATTTCATAATGATAAATGAACAAACGTATGTATTTTCATATGTGAGCAAAGTTAAAAGCGCTGCAGGACTAGGGCTGTTGATATAACGATATATCGGATGACGATATAAAAACGTCTATGTTTCATTTTACGCTATTGTTTGTTTCGTGGTGTCGCAAAATAAATGTTTACGGCAATATTTTTTCATCTTTTGATGGTCACTGTAGTGGCTATATTAATTAAAGTTCTCTCTTTCTCTTATATTTAATATAACCACACTATAGACGGACAAGCGCCTGTTTTTATGCGTTGTCTTTAGCAACAACAACGTAAACCTTTCACAATAAAGCTCAAGATCCTGTTGAGACTTTTCAAAATAAACCGCATCATGTGAAAGAGTATGCAAAATATTTACGGATAAGAAGCAAAAAAGAGCCGTCAGGTGCTAAAAAATAAACCTTAGATTCAAACGTTAAGTTACAAATTATGTCTAAAAATATATAGTTTCATGCATCGGTTAAAACACTCAACTCCAGGTACATGACTCTCAGCTGGAAAAACTTAACGCAAATCGAGCCGCCGGAGATTCACAGAATTTACAGAAAATGTTAAATTTTTGTGATTTATATCGTTATCGGACGATATCAGGATATGAGATTTTGGTCATATCGCACAGCCCTATGCAGGACTACCAAAAACCGCATAACCATCCCTTTATTAGGTTATTGGCTCAGATTTCTGGGGAAGTTCCCATGATTCACTGACCTTTTCTCCTCTACCTTCCTCTTTTGACTCCCCTTGTGTTTAAATGTTATCATTATCTTTTTCCCCTTTATCCATCTCTTCCCTTTCTCTTCAAAACCCAACTCAACCTCTTTCAAGGTGGTAAAAAATGTAATTAGAATGATTTAAAATAAAATGTGATGGGCTGCTTTTCTTGTCATGATGCCTCCAAATATCAACACCACGGGGAGTGAAATTATTTAAAATTCAACTGCATTTGTTCTTTTTATTGGCTGAAAAAGTACTCCTACAGGTACTTAAATGCATTGGAAAACTGCTGGAGAGGGCTAGATGCTGACAAAAAAACACCAACCCAAATCAGCAATGCAATATCTGTGATACAGGGACACAAAACAAACAACAACCATGTCGAGTCCTTCAATTGTTGGAGAGTTTTTAGTCTCATTCATCGCAAACAGTGTTTTATATGTTCAGAATAAACTTTACGGTCAAAATGTTTTTGCTCAATTTTAAGTTTTGATGAACATAATGGTTATTTAATGTTTATATTTACTGCAAATTAACTGGAAAAAGACGTCTTTATGGCTGTATTTTGTTACAACAAACTACCGAAGGTTGAGTGTAAAGCAGAATCAGCATCACAGCTCGTTTAATATCAATGCACACAGTTAATAATAATAAGCAAAGGTGTCTACATAGGGATGTCACCCCAGCATTCATACTTTATGCTTAATGTTTTAAGTGTGGAAAATATCAGATTTAAGGTATTTCAACATGTTAAATCTCCCAAAAATATTTTTCTATGGCACATGCATTGAGATGCAACCGCTCCATTTTCAGTTTTTATCAGAAGCAGCAGCTTGACCCAAGCTGGATCTCGAAAATAAGATTTAATATGTTGCAAGTGGTAGCTGATTGTTTAATTAAAAATGCATTTAAGCCTAAAAAGGCTTGTTAAAGACTAGGTACTTTTTCACTTGGTTATTTGTAGTCGTAGTAGTGAGTCTGATGGATCTGAGTCTGTAAACAGACAGACTCAAAGCCCTGATTAGGACGGCATCTTGTAAACAATAGGGACACCTGGTGTGCACCTGGAGTTTCTGCAGTGGAAAGGGTACATCTCTTAGTGTGAAACTGCCTCTGGGTTATCTGCACTGAATGGAGACTTACAGTAAATCAGCGTGTTTGTGTGTCTGTGTGTGTGCAGCTCTGCCCGGCAGCTCACTGTCAGCTGACCTACTGGAACACAGGAACCATCAGCTCTCACAGTCAGGAACCAGCTGCCTAAAAATAAATCAACCTCTGAGATAATTTTCTTTTTTCCTTCACCTTTCGATTTAAGTTCACCCCCCAAATCTGGAAATAGAATTTCCACAGTTTTCAACAACTTCTCAAAAAATGATGAGTCAATGATGAGTCTCTAAAATACTCATGAATCACATGGAAATAAAGTCAGTGTCATTTCCTGGTGAAAGTTATAAGCTTAGATGCATTGCAGCTGTTTCGTGTGGTTTTTTTTTTTTGGTTTGTTTGTTTGTTTTGTTACAGATTTCAGGTTCAGTTTGGATCATAAACTATCTGCTTATTTGCTTCATGCTCAAGAACTTTCCATTGGACAAACTGTAATGGGTTTTCTGTGGATGATGGTGCTTCAGCTGATTCGAACTGACAGCAATCAATTCAACACAGCTCGTCAGCAGCTGGCTGGTTATTTAATTACAGCAAGTTCACAGCAGGTTGACTCTGGTCTGCAGTTTGAGTCATTGAACTGCAACGTTTGTTCAGTCGTTTGATATAAAGTTCATTGTAAATTAAACAACTGAACAAACGTTGCAGTTCAGGGATTCAAACTGCATTTTTATAGGTCTTTAGTGATACCTAGCATGACCCCAGACTTTCAGGAAATGAAAATTACTATAAAGAACATTTTTGAGGTGTTGTTCATCATAGTTTCACTTCTCGTTTCTTGTTCAGTCTTTTTAGTTTAAAGTAAATGACATTAAATGTAACTAGTGCTGGTTTTGATATTAGTTTGTTGAATTAGACCATATTACATCAGATTAGATCACATTTGATTGATTCACATCAGTCGTGTAATAGAGTAAAGTAGGCCCAATCAGATTACATCATATAAAACCAGAATACAAGTTACTAGATCAGATCAGATTCTGTATATTTCTAATTAATCACTGTACAGATAAGTACATATGTGAATATGAATAAAGTGATAAATACATCATATTTAACATATACTGTGTTGATAAGAAAACTGATGTCACCGATTGGTTTTGGTGGGTGGGTGGGGCACTATATGTGAGCATGTCTGGTAATAAATTAGACTGGTTAGTATGAAAGTGAAGGTGTTTCAAAAACACAGACACCTGGTAACTACTGCAAAGTAACACATGAATAAAACACTGTGTTAATGCAATCAACTCCACATCAAGCCCTATTATTTTATCATTATTGTACCATCAGATATTCAATGCACTCAAATAAGCAACAGCTCAAACAAGGTTAAAGCGCCCAGTTCATTGACTTCGGTTAGAAGAGATGAGGCCTAACAGAGAGCTATGGTAACTTAATACCATTAGAAAAACATAAATGGTCTAGTTTAAAAAATTAACCCCCTGTGCAGTGCATGAAGGTGGAAATGACGTACAATGTCTTTTATGCTGGGCTTATTTTCTTTGTTTATTTCTGCTGTAACGTTGGGACTCTAATATGACAGTCTATGGGGATTGACTCAGTTTGAAGTCAGCCTCAAGTGGCCAATAGAGGAACTTCAGTTTTGTCACCAGCTTCATTGCCAAGATTTTTTTCATTTGTGAAAATTACAAATGTTAAATGCTACCAAATCAAGAAAAAATGAATACATTTGACTGATGAAAACACACACAAACAAAAGAATCCAATTTATCTCACAAAATTAACACAACTGAATCCAACCAGGCTGAACAGAAGAGTAAATGTTTCATCTTACCTTAACCTCTTTTCCCATGCTGCTGTTTGCCACTGAGCATCCAGAGTTAAACCGCTGTACCAGCAGGCTGAAGGGTCCCTGCCCCGCCACCATACTGCTCACCCCAAAGCCAAGCACACAATCTGAACTATTCCCAGTACCAAGAGAGCGTCCATAAATATTTTCAGACTGGTAGAAAACGCAGAGAGGAAGGGAGTATGAAAGTCTAATGTCCAGAGAGAGACTGAAAACAGCAGAGGGTCCAGAGTGACACTAAAGAGAGTTTGGTACTGTTTTCTAGTATAGACACAAAGTCCAGGAACAATTCAGCTCGCTGTTCTAGCACTGAAGCGATGACTGATACAAGCTGGGAAACCAGAAAGAAAGTGCTATCAGTGGAGTTCCAAGCACAATTCTGGTGTTGGCACAGGTACAGAAAGAGGATAGTCCCCTTAAAACCCCTGGTAATGGTAGCCGTTCAACTAAAAGCCTAATAGCTGTAAAGTAGCCTCAAAGAGTTGACGTAACAGCTCTAAAAAGGCCTGGTGCCACAAGAGTACTGTCAGAGGCAAAATATCCAGTCAGACTCGGTGCTGGCAGTGTTCATAAAGACAAGTTGGCTTTGACCAGAGCTTTTAAACACACCGCTCCGGGAGGGCTTGAGGTTGAGAGCCGAACCATCAGACCCCAAACAAAAGAGTTCAAAAAGAGGCTGGATTTAGTTCTGTTCCCAGAAAATCATACAGGAAAAGTTTAGTCTGCAGTTTAGACCGTGTAGAGCTCTGAAT